GTTTATGAACATGAATCTGACAATGTTTTATTATGTTGGTTGGTGTACATAAAAAGCAAAATTTAACAAAAGTAAATGGGAGATAAGTTGTATTTGCTGAAGCAACCATGCTTGTTTCTAAGTCCTTTGAGCTCTTTTATCATGATTCGTGTTTTACCGGACTTGCACCCAATGCCGTACCAGGTGAGTTACCGAGCAAGTTTACCATATTAGAAAAGCCAAATGGAGATGATGATGTAATGCAAATGTCAAAATGTATTATTTTACAAATCATGCACTATGGTAAAAGTGTTTTGAAATCCTAACATAATATTGTGCAAGGAACTGTGCAAAAATCTTTTTAAAAAAGTCTTTAAAAATGAATAACCAGGTCGAGTAATCATAATTTGTGTAAACAGGACTAAAGGTTGTTGATGTGTTACTACCACTAGTGTTCATTTCAGCTGGAAACTTCAGTGAATCATATGTATAGGTTTTTGGAGTTTTGCAAAACTGTATAGTAGGTAGAGGCACTTGTTTTCCAATGAGCCTTGGTTGCAATTAGAAGAGCGTGCTTTTGGGAGCATAAAGAGTAAGTGGAAGGTCCAGGTGTGATGCTCTTAGCTCTTTTGGAGTCCTCTCCCTGCAGTCCTCGAGTCCTCAGTGAGTTCAGAGAATTGATATGCCCTTCAAGGTGGCGAACTTCATTCAATTTCCAGGTCAAAGGCTGAAAGACAGAGGAGCGAGCAAACAAGCATCAAGCATCAGTCCTGAGAAGCACTCTTTCTACTTCATTCAGAAAGGTGCCATGATTTGAGCCTGACAGGCTAATGAGGCCTCAACCCCTATAACCTAACCTGATCAGCCTGTCAGGCACAAAGTGGGGCACCTTGCATGCTTTTGAGCCAATTACCAGAGCCGTAAATGCCATGACACTAACCACTTTAGAACCAATGGGAAATGATATCATGACAACGTTGCCTGGCTGATGGCGTCACAGGGACATGTGGTCCAGAGCACTTATCCTAAAAGGCAGCAGGGAAAAAGATAAGACCATAGTGTGTGTGTTTTGTATGTATATATATATATATATATATTAGTGGTGTCAAACATTTAATCGCGATTAATCGCATCCAAAATAAAAGTTTTTGTTTACATAATATATGTGTGTGTACTGTGTATATTTATTATGTATATATAAATACACAAACATAC